CTGGCACTTGGCCTTGTTAAACCTCATACAGTTGGCCTCAGGCTGTTCATCCAGCCTGTCCAGGTCCCTCTGCAGGGCCATCCTACCCTCCAGCAGATCGACACTCCCTCCCAACGTGGTGTCATCTGCAAAGTTACTGAGGGTGCACTCAATCCCCTCATCCAGATCATCGATAAAGATATTAAACAAGGCTGGCCCCAAAACAGAGCCCTGGGGAACACTGCTCGTGACCAGCTGCCAACTGCACTTAACTCCATTTACCACAACTCTCTGGGCTCGGCCACCCAACCATTTTTTTACCCAGTGAAGACTATGCCCGTCCAAGCCATGAGCTGACAGCTTCCCAAGGAGAATATTATGGGAGACTAAAAGAATTTTCCACTTGCAGTATCATCTGTAAAACAATACAAGTTCTAAAACTTTAATATGGAACATGTAGTAATCTTTGCATGTGCATCTAGGAAAATTTAAGTCTAACACTGAAACCCATCTGTTCTATTGTAAAGAGATTCTCTAGAAAAGATTGTATCAAACACTCATTACCACAGTAGTGACCCAGTCCTGCAGAGCTAACACAAGATTCAGCAAGCTGTGTTAGTGTAGGTTTGGTAACTGTAAAAATAAGAGTGGAGAATGCACCACTGAACTGTTTCTGTGAAACTGCTCCATTGCTAGATCCGGCTGTGCCCTGTGGGCTCTACCAGACATACACCTCTTATGAAGGGTTTGTTTGGTATAGTTTCTTGTAAAGTCTTGTGAAGTTTCACTGGTTTCTCAAACATTTCCTTGTTCCAGATGAAGATGAATGTGCGGTGCGAAATCCTTGTTCCCATACCTGTCATAACACCATGGGATCTTACTACTGCTCTTGTCCGAAAGGCCTCGCTATCTCTGCGGATGGTAGAACATGTCAGGGTAAGATAAATATTGCTGTGGACAGGTTGGATACAAAAGCCCTATGGCATTTAAATCACTAGGGAAATGTTCTGTTCAGGCTCAGCCATTTTTTCATTACAAGAATATAATTTACTGGTGGTATTCTAATTATTTCATATCTGAATATATTTGCAGTCAAGTATTTCATAGCTGATCATGCTCAAGACCCTGCTTAATCTGTGTTTCATTTTGACATAGTGAGGTTTACAGCTTGTTTTTAATTATAGATATTGATGAGTGTGCGTTAGGTGGACATACCTGCCATGCTGGCCAGGACTGTGAAAACATCATTGGCTCATACCGCTGCATGGTTAGATGTGGGATCGGCTTTAGGAGGACAGCTGACGGGTTTAGCTGCCAAGGTATGGAGAGGTCTTTGGTGTTAGCTTTCATAAACTGAAAATGCTGTCTTTCACACAATTGAAAGTAACTTTTTAAAAGATGCATCTTCAAATACAGTGTCTATAAATTTTCATTATTAAGGTTGTGGGGTTTGGGATTTTTTTGGTGGGTTTTTTGTTTGGTTTGGTTTTGGTGGTTTGGTGGTTTTGTGGGGTTTTTTTTGTTTATTTTGTTTTTTAACTTTTTGCATTTTCCATCTTTAGAAAGGAATTTAAAATCCTACCAGGGAATAACCTAATATTCTTGCTTTTGTGTCCCATGTGCATTTTCTTTTACAAAGAAGTGAGAGAAGTAAACATTTCTGACCATACCTCAACAGTGTAATAATTAGAGCTCAAAGCAGAGTGCAGAGTGTTGACTCAACCAAAACACTGTTCGGGTAAATGACGACAAGGCAATTCACAGCTATGGTGTTAAGGATTTGTATTGTTCAACAGATGTTAACGAGTGTCAAGAGTCCAACTTCTGTCATCAGCGTTGCTTCAATACTATAGGAAGCTTCCACTGTGGTTGTGATCCAGGATACCAGCTAAAGGGCAGAAAATGCATGGGTATGAATGAATTCTTGAATGTTAATTCCCTCTTTCCAGTGGACATAGTTCAATGTTTATTTGTTGTTATATTTGTTATTGGAAACCTTTTATGAATGAAAATCTACTATGGATTATATACTTAGTATGTAGTTCTGAATTCCTTTGTAAAGCAGTACTAAGAGCCAGAGGAAGTGGAAATTGGGCTGTCTGATAAATGTGCATGAAATGCATTCACATGCATGTACACAGTGTAATTACAGCTGGATTATTCTGCTTTTTAGGAATTAAGCATAAGGAAGTGAGTTCATTTCCATTCTTTTTTTTTTTTTTTTTTTTTTTTTTTTTCTATAATAAGATGTAAATGAGTGCAGGCAGAATGTATGCAGGCCTGATCAACTTTGCAAAAATACCCGTGGTGGCTATAAGTGCATTGATCTGTGTCTCAGTGGAATGACCAAAGCAGAAAATGGAACTTGCATTGGTGAGTAGAAGTGTTAATGTATTGTACGATGATGGAAAACACAGGGACAACGATGAATTTTTTTAAAAAAATAATAACCTTGAAGACAGTCTATCTCCAGTTATTAAGACTTGCACATATTAAGGCACCAACTTTTTTTCATTTATGGGAATATATGTATTTCACTTTTTTTGTAATTGGTATTAAAAGAATAGACGTATCCTTGCCACTTGTAGTTTTGCATTGCTCTGAAAGAAAACTAAGGTTTTTCCTCAGCATCTTAGAATCACAGAATCATAGAATTGTTTAGGTTGGAAAAGACCTTTAAGATCATCCAGTCCAACCATTAACCTAGCATTACCAAGTCCACACTAAACCAATCAAGGGTAGACTAGATTAAACCATGTCCCGAAGTGCTACATCTACCCAGTTTTTGAACACTTCCAGGGATGGGGACTCCACCACCTCTCTGGGCAGCCTGTTCCAATGCTTGACTACCTTTTCTGTGAAGAAATTTCTCCTAATTTCCAACCTAAATCTCCCCTGGCATACCTTGAGCCCATTTTGTCTCGTCCTATCGCTAACTACATGAGAGAAGAGACCAACACCCACCTCACTACAACCTCCTTTCAGGGAGTTGTAGAGAGCTATAAGGTCTCCCCTCAGCCTCCTCTTCTCCAGGCTAAACAATCCCAGTTGTTCCTCTTTTCTGCGTTGTCACCTTGAATTTTACAAATTGTTCATTGACTGAAATGTTTTGCCCCATGTGTGAATGCTTTCTTAAGAGTTTGTCTCAGGAGCTATGAATCAAGATCACAGGTCCTTGCTGTTTAGCAGGGATGCTTTTAAACATAACCGATGTTATATATAGTACCAAATCTTTTTTTCTACTGGGATATGACAGGAAAATGGATTATGTCTATTTGGAGAGCAGCTGATCACATTGGAAAACTCAAGGAAAAGTTTTTAAAATTAACAGAAAAACTGTGTGTAAATGCAATATGGTTGAAAAATTTATCTTTGTATCTGCTCAAAATCTGCTTTCAGATTGTGAAACACAGATTGTGATTCATAACACAAACTGTTACAGAGTAATGCCTAATCATGGCACCAGGTAAGAAAAGTGTACGTTTGGAGGCCAAATCTGTCTAGAAGGCCAAATTCACTTGTGGCTTAACTGCATTCCTTCTACATTAAGAAGTTTAAAGCTGTAAGAAGTTTCAAGAAAAATCTGACTACTTCCTCTTGCCTTGTTGCTTGCAGACATTGATGAATGCTGGGATGGAACCCACCAGTGCCGCTATAACCAGATTTGTGAGAACACACGGGGAAGTTACCGTTGTGTGTGTCCAAGAGGATATCGGTCCCAGGGAGTTGGAAGATCTTGTGTGGGTAAGCTGTCCAATCACATTAGTATCACATATTTTCTGCTGCTGTTTTTGGCTGGGCTTTCTGCTGTAACATATCCAACAATGCTATCCCATTTGAAGACTATGCTATATAGACAAATTTGATCTGAAGTTCAAAATTGCCCGAATAAAATAAAGCATCCCATTCAAAACAAACAGTCAAAACTAAATGATCCCAAATGGAGATTGTTATAGGTCCATACTTTGAAAACGAAGCGTACAAGGGTCTCAGAGCAGGTGGATGAATGGGGCAAGCTACCACTCCACAAGAGGCTTCATTTATAAAAATCAGGTCAGATTTGTTGGTTGGTTGGACAGTGAAATGTACCTGGCTATAGCCTGGACTGCATTGATTCACACCTGAAGGCAGTCAAGCAGGGAGTGATGTGGATTCCCCTAAAGGATAACACCCAAAGGAAGTGTGTTGCAAGAGAGACGATACACCCAGAACTCGCCTCTGCAAGTGAATGGCACAAATACACCTACCCACCCGCTAGAATTGCAAAGGGTGTTCCCCGTATGGGTAGAGTGGCGGAAGCTGATACGCATTTATCACTCAACGCTCCCCTTTCTGGTCTGGGTGGATCACAGCAGGGAAGGAGGATTACTGTAAGTCACAGGAATGCTGACCATGTAGTTACTCCCCTATGCTATCTACGTAGAACCTTTTGGCATAAAAGTGTGCAGAGCTTTCTCCCACACACACGTGTAGCATTTGAAGGATGCTCTCATAGCTCTAAGATGGATAGCAAGACAGTTTAATGTACGGTGTCAGTGCAAGTGCATGAAACACTGCCCCTGGCATTTAATAGACCTCAGGATGGCACTAGGATCATTTAGATTCACCCTTTCTGTATGTAGAATATTTAAAATACAATAGCTGATCCACCCTGATTATAATGATTTATGAATCATATATGATTCATAAATGAATTCATATGATTCATAGTCGTATATGACACTAAGTGAAGTTGGTTTCAGTTGCTGTCTGGTATCATATCAGAGAAGCATTCCTCCATGATTACTTCTTCAAGATTAGCTTTCATAAGTGATAAATAGCTGCTTTGGAGAACAGGATATTTTTTTTCTTTTTAAACAACCTAAGATTTTGGACTACCAAAAGCCAGGAATGTTTTGTTTGTTTGTTTTTTAAAGAGATTAAATTGCAGTAAGAAACTGTTTGACTGTAGACCAAGACAATACTTCCACCAGCTGCCTCTCTACTGAAATAAAATCAGTCCCAGACTCTGTAACATATATGAAAACCATTTAAATTTCTCACAGGAATAAGATAGATAAAGTCTAGGACTACAGATTTTCACAAAACACTAGCAGCTGCCCTAAAGCTGTCTTCTGACCAAGGAGCACTGAAAGCTCCCTCTTAAATTAAAGTATGACCTTTATGCACCTTGGAATTTTTGTCTGCTTAAAGATACATTTAAAATATAGATGCATCAAAGATATTAGTTCACATGTGTTAATGAAATCCAGCTTTTATTGTTAATGTTTCCAGTGAGCAGAGGGAAGAGTTGAAAAGTAAGTAGGGCCCCAGACTGAAACAGAAGAATTGAACTTCCTACCTGTGCACTCTTACCCTGTGTAAAGTTCTTTGTGCCACAATTCCCTGTATTTTAGATGGGGATAAGATGCTCATTTGCCATCAGAACACCCATAGATATATGCATTTTTGCATATAACACATGCAAGGCTATCTAGAATTTAAAATCAAATATTATTCTTCAAGTTAAAGAATGCAAGAGAATTTAGCTATCTTAGTTTCAAAGTCATTTCACCTTGTTGTTGTAAATATTTAATATTTGTGGTGTGTAAAGGGATACTGTCCAGTGGAGACTTAGGCTTACCAGTCAGTGAGTGATCACTTCTCACGGGGACGGCTATGGTATAAATGCAAGTGACTTGCTGCCTTCAATTTTGCTTGTATTGCACAGGATGATCCTACAAAAAAATTGCTCAAATTTTTACCGGTTTCCTTTCATTATTTCTATGATAGTTTTATATTGCTTATCTACAACTTGTTCGAAGGACATTGGTTGTTGTAAAGATGTTAGCGCACATACTTATTGTCTATTTTATGCAGGTAAAGAATGTTAAATTCAGCAATTACAAAATAGTTGAGCACAAAGGAAATAATGAGTTTCAGCATCCTTTTATGTGTGTATGAGTAATGCATTTTTCATCTTAAGCACACAATGAATGAATATAAACTTAAAATTCATATTAGTTTTTGCCGTATTAAAAACAAAGTTCTTATTTATAACACCTGACAATATTACCCTAATGATATTTCAACTAATATATAAAGTTTCAGTTATTTGTTTGTGAAATAACAATTGGAAAATAATGCAATACTCTGCAATAATTATCCCTGGATTTCCAACTCTCTAAACATTTAACTATTAATACTCCCCAAAATTCTTTAAAACTCTAAAATATATAAAGTATTAAACACTTAATAAAACTGCAGTCTAATATTCTGTTATGTTTCTGAACAGTGTTACTTTTTAAATACCATTATCATGCATTTGTGTCTTGGAGGGTTACAAACTATGCTCAAAATACTATGTTCAGAGAGAACCAAAATGAAACTGTAATAATGTTAACTTAATGGGATTGTTACAATAATAACTTAAAGAATACACACTTTCCACTAATATGAAATAATTAAACCCTTATTGAGTCACCTTTAAGATCATCTTTAAATTCTAGTAAAAGAAGGGTTATAATACATATCAATTATGATATGTTGTTATGTATGTTAATATCAGGTTATTTTTTTCTGGTCATTGTGGAGTTGCATATACCTGTTTGGAATTAGCAGATTTTTGTCTTTTTCTAGTAAAGAATGAATGTAAGTTTGCATAGGAATACTGTCTATGTTAAATTTTCAGCTGGGCCTGAAGTAACTTGACCAAAAATTTAGAAAATTTCTTTCTGGTGGTGCCAGAGAGACTGTGGGAGAAGGCCTGATCCTACTGTATCCAAGAGCGCTCATATTTAATTTGTTTTGCATGGAGGACACTCACGCAAATATCATGGTATATAAACCCTTTACCATACTTTGTATGCTCACTACTCTGCTTTGATTTAAGGATGGATATTTGCTGCTAGGTTTGGTCAAATTACTTTGGATTACAATTTAAAGGGAAACAACTTTTTTTTAAATAAAAAAAAGCATTCCCTAGGGGGGAAAAAAAAAATTCTATTTTTCAGTTGTACAAAAGCGAATTAATCTTTACTGTTAAGTCTCCAACCTTTCATAGCTGGAATACCAGTAACAATGTGAAAGGCTAGAACATACCCAACCTCCTTCCCCTGCAGCCTTGTGACACATCCTCGAGACGTGATTTTTCCCCTGATATAGAGTACAGTAACTGTATGGGAGCTTTTGAGCTTCCCTCAGTGCCAGTTTGAATGAATTTCTAAAGCTGTACTTCTCAAGAATGCTCAGTGTTAAGTACCCTCCTTTAAAGAAGGGCTTTAGAAGGGCCAACAGCTTCTCCCACCCATCTGTGGAGCACTTAAGAAAAAAAAAAAAATCATTACTGAAGCAGTAGTGAGCAGCTTAAGCTGAAATGATGAACAGCATGGGTCCTAAGGGCCACTTATTTCTCAGAGTGCATCTTTTCTGGTAACCAGCAGGAACCTGGGCCACGGCCAGCAGCTTTCAGGCTATCACATGGCCCTGCTTTTGCAAAAGCAGGGGAACAGACTTGGATCTGGTTTATAGCCACACTTTGCCTTCAGTAACACTCGAGGCAAGACTTTCAGTAGAGTTCTTGCCCTATGTGAGCACAGGCTTACGTCACAAGCAGCCTTACAGGAAGAATAAATGTGTATTACTGTACAGGACAGAATAACCTGCCTCCTTGGCATTGTGTTCTCCATATTTTACTGCCTTCAAGACCTCACTTTTGTGTCTTCAGTTTGTTCCACAGACTGAGATAAGTATATATGTATATATATACGTATAGTTATGTGTTGTTTGTTTGTTTGTTTTTTCTCCTTTCCACATGGTTTGTTGCTCTGGATCATGTCACATGAGCAGACATTAATGAATGTGAACAAGTGCCTAAACCCTGTGCATTTCAATGCACCAACACCCCCGGCAGCTTCAAGTGTATCTGTCCACCTGGACAACATTTATTAGGTGATGGGAAATCTTGCGCTGGATTGGAGAGATTGCCAAATTATGGTGCCTATTACAATAGCTATAGCTATGCTCAATTCTCCCCTGTGAGAGACAACTATCAACCTCAACAATATTACAGTCACTCCTCAAATCTCTACAGCTCCTTCTCAGAGTATAGGAACAGCAGAATACCTTTCTCCAGGACTAGAAGGAACGTTAGAGAAACTTGTCCTGAAGGCTATGAGGCAAGAAATTACAGATGTGTAGGTAAATGTCAGTCATATCTATGCAATTCTCTTGTTTTGGTCCTTATTCTTAGGTTACTGTTTCATATATACCAGGGGTTGATGGTCTATGGTGCTGTGGTTTTTTGCATATTACTATGATAAATATTCAGAGAGTTCTGCATGTTCTTGTCTCCTGATCACGTTGTAGCCAAAAACTTTTCAAACCTCCTCCTTGTAATCTCTTGTTTTAATTGTGCTGCTTATTGTGTGTTTGCAAATTATTTCCCTCTGTTATTTTCTTTCTTCTGATTACGGTAGCTCACCTTTGTCAATTTTCTCACACTTCAAAAAAACACCAGTAGACTTAATCTAATCCTGGGGATGTTGCTTATGCCAGACTCCCATTGATGGTAGTAATAACCTGGTTCAAAAAGGTTTTTAATAAAGATTTTAGAATTGAGCACACTAGGGCCAATGCCAGCACTGCTACAGGATAGTTAGTCACTGCCATACAGGCAATATAAGCAGAAGCTTTTAAATTATCTGTAGTTATGATATATAGGGGGTTGCAGTGTAATTCACTGAGCGTGGACAGACTGATAATAAGTAAACAAATAGGGAATTTGTCACAAGTTGTGACAATGACAGTGCTGACATTTCTTTTTCCATGATGAGGAGAGCAGGATACTTAGAGTAACTGGCAAACTCTGCCCCAATTTTTTTTGAGAGGTGTAAAGCCTCAGAGCACACTCTAAGACCAACAGGAAACAAAGGTATTTGGCACCTGTTACTGTCAAGCATTTAGTTCACTTCCTCCTTACTCTGTGAGCTTTTCTGAGGTTTTTCAGTGAAATGCTGCTATTTTTGCAAGTACTGAAAATTTAATTCAGCTCCTCGTGAAAGTCAAAAGGAACAGCATCCTGTACCGTTCATTGACTGATCGGTACTAAATGTGAAGAAACTAAGAAGTTGAAAAAAAAAAACCCCATACTATTGCTCAAGTTAGAAATGTCAGGTTGTTCTCATGTGGCAGTAGTTGGTGTCTGTGGATCTAGACCCTCTGTAACGGCAGGTTAGAGCCAGACAACAGGCACTTACGCCCAGCCTCCCGAGAGCACGTTCCCGTTCCCCTCCCTGCCCTGGGAAGCTGAACAGACCTGGGCGGGAGAGGGGCCACCGCTGTGCTCGGAGCCAGGGCTCGCCTTGTCTTCCAGGAGGGATCACCACACCTGATGCTTTACACAAGGGACAGATGGCAATATAAAAAATGAGTTCATCTTTTGAAATATGCTTCTCTTAAGCCAGATTTTGCCAACTTAACTCACATTTTGAGTATCTTAAGGAAAAAAAAGTATTCAGTTAAGTTATTTTGTGATAATACTGCTGAGCTCAGGACTAAGGGTACCGCAGTCTAGGCCTTACTAGAGCTTGTCCCAGCGCATTTAACATAGTTTGTGGTGCGTTAGCTATGTGCCTCAACCTAGTGTATATACCAGAGGCACTTCATAGGAGGCACAATATCCTGCCAGGATAAATACAGTGATCTACACCTGGATTCTAGCAACCAGAATTATTGCTAGGATTGTATAGTGATATATAATGTTGAAAACTATGAATGTAGTTTTATTAATAAAAATTATAGACAGGCAGACATCAAACCTTGTGTTTACATTATAAAGACATTTCAGTAGTCATATACATGCAGTTTGTTATGGGTATAGCAGTTTAATTGAATAGACCTAGGACTATAGCTACTGCTGATGAAAGGGTTAAGCTAAAATCTATGATCTTCACCCCAGCTTCCAGTTTTAATTAGTTAATACTCTTGTACTTCTGTTTCATTGGAATAAACATCTGAATTTCAAAATTAATGTTTAATATGAAAAATACACCCAAATTATGCTTTTTTAAAGAAAGTTCTTTCAACAGACAACCATCGGGATTTGGTAACAACATACTGTAAATTTCTACAGTCACATCTGTTTCTCTTCTGTGGTTGCATTTTTATCTAATGCAACCCCTGTAAGTCAGATGAAGAGCGGGGAAGCAAAGACCTTCCTTCCACTGTTTTAATCATGCAAGTCTGGCACAAGACTAACTTGGAGTAGGACCTCTATTGCTCTCCTGAATTAGGCAGGCATTTCAACAGAAATTATAATTATATATGATCTGTGTCAAAATCACACTAGTTTGCTTTGAAAATTTTACATAAAGTGGTCTGGTACTTCTATATTTGAGGGGGAAATTAAAAAAAAAAAAAATTAAGAGCATTTATTGATAGCCTTCCCAGATACTGGGCTTAATTCAGCCCCATGGCTCAAGGAAGATCAGTTCAGAAGGGAAACAGCTTTGCCTGAGGAGGGATTAACTGTAAGAATAACTCCCCCACTGTCAAGGCTTCCTCTGATGAGATAACTAATCTAGGCATTTCCTAACCATATTGCCTAAAGCATTATTATCAGGCAGCTTGGCTTGCTTTTCGGGGCAAGACTGTATTTATATAACCTTGTTAATGTATACAGATTGCACATCCCCCTTTCTTCCCAGAACTCTGTATCAGGACTGGTCTCTCCAGCTAGAATACATATAATGGCTGCCATCAAAAGAGGTGAGGACTTTAATTATTAAAAAGTTTTAAGGAATGGCACAGGTAAGGTGTGAAAGGGCTTGCTAGTCATAGACATTCAACCCCATCAGAAAACAAGATCCGCAAAACTTCCTCCAACTCTGTCCATACGCTTGCATATAAATAGGACAAAAAAATACCTTGGTTCAATACCAGGTTCAAATAATTGTGATGTGTACATGTTCGTGTTTCTTTCCACAGACATAGATGAATGTGAAACCAGAGATACTTGTCAGCATGAATGCAGAAACACTCTAGGAAGTTACCAGTGTACTTGTCCATCTGGTTATCGCCTTACACCCAATGGCAAAACCTGTCAAGGTACGGGAATCTGTTTGAGTGTTCAGAAATATATTTGTAAATAAGTAAGATACAAATAATGTTCAATACATGTGTAAGCCACCTCTTTGAATTTGCTATATGAGATTCGGCATTCAAAATTTCAGGTTTCTGAAGTTCTTGTATTTCACATACTAACATTTCATAAACCACCAGCAAATTAGACAATCGCAACTTTTTATTCTCTGAAGTTTCCTCATGTCACCTCACGTTACACAGTTAACTCCAGGCAAGTAGACAGCAGCTCTAGGGTCAAAGGAGTAATGGTTTTAAACTGAAGGAGGGTAGATTTAGACTGAATATAAGGAAGAAATTTTTTACAATGAGGGTGGTGAAGCACTGGAACAGGTTGCCCAGAGAGGTAGTGGAGGCCCCATTCCTAGAGACATTCAAGGTCACGTTGCATGGGGCTCTGAGCAACCTGATCTAGGTAAAGATGTCCCTGCTCCCTGCAGGGGGTTTGGGCTGGATGATCTCTAAAGGTCCCTTCCAACCCAAAGCATTCCATGATTCTATAATCCTTAACCTGCCTCTGTCAAAGAAAGGTGCTGTCAGATGTTCTGATCCACAAAAAAAAAACCCATAAAAAATGAACTAATTAGTCTCTGTTGACAAGACAACTATGGTTTATGTTGGATCGTGGCTGTAGGGCAGGTCTTGCACAATACGCCATCCTGCACAGTAATAAAATGCCAACAATAATAAATGCATGTTATTGGAACTCCTGGGTCTGGTGTCTCAAACAGCAAGACAGGATTCTGAAAGATTTCACTGTGTGCAGAGGTACACTCTGCAGTCTGCTCAGCCTTTACTGACCCAGCTTGGTTTTAACCCTTAATGTCTTCTACCAGCAATTGCTCATTTGCATGATTTTTGCATTCAGATATTGATGAGTGCCTTGAACAGAACATTAATTGTGGATCAAATCGGATGTGTTTCAACATGAGAGGAAGCTACCAGTGCATAGACACACCTTGTCCACCAAACTATCAGCGAGAGCCTCTTTCTGGGTATGTTTTATTTTCAGCCCCTTTGCACCCACCCCAAGCTGGGATCCTTAACCTGTATTCGTCAGAAGAAACTTTATCTAAATTTGACTGTCACCAGTAAAGTTCATCCTAGCGAAAGGTTGACATTGACATTCGAGATGATCATTGGTTTCTTGAGCAGCAGTATTCCATGTTTCCCCTGCAGGAGAACCATAAAGCAGTGGCCTCAGGCAAGCTGGCTGGCTCTCAGTATCCATGCAACATTTTACTATTAGTTCAAAAGGAAATAGCACCAGAATGTTCCTTTACTATATGAACCCTATCGGGCAGCGCACTGTGATTCTTTCTCCTGATTCAGTGTCATTCATTTGTCACTCATGGGGCTGCATTTACATCTAAGTTTTCTGACTTAATTCTCTAAAGGCCTTGCCATCAATTTCAAAGCATTTTTAAGTTACTCTATTTTCCTGTTCTGGAAAAAAAACATATTAATTTCTTTTAATCTTTTAATATACTCAAGGAAATAGCTTGTTTCATAGTCAGAACCCATCTTTTGTGATCAAACTGAACTGGAATGACACTTAAATTGAAATGGATAATGTTCTTTGACCTCTGTTAGTACTGACAAGCAGAGCTAACAGATACCTCCTATTTGGACTTTTGATTAATAGAAAATTTACTTTGCCCTTCTTCATTCCAAATTCTTTATTTTATGATCTAGCACACAGACACCTCAAATGGAGTTGCCCAGTACCTTTTAAAACAACCTTTCCAACTCTAATATTTAAGAGCAAGGTCACTAAAACATATACCATTGACTTCAATGACATATATTGTATTCAATATCTTTATGTTATCTCTTGGTACTTTCTGAGATGATCCTGTTGAGGGAAAATGGGATATTAAACTGGGCTGCAACTTTAAAGAAACAATGGATAGAGTGCACAAGCATATTATCTTTATAGAGAAATTTCAATTACACAATAGGGTAAACAGGGGAAGAATTTATCCTTTAAGACCTATTGCAGTACTTATATCATGCCTTCTCCCTGGCCTAAAGTGCTCTGCTTATTCCTAGGTTCTGTCTGAAAAACTGCCCAGCCAACGACTTGGAGTGCGATCTGAGTACCTACGCCTTGGAATACAAACTCCTTTCCCTCCCCTTTGGCATAGCTGCTGGTCAGGATTTAATCCGGCTGGTTGCCTATACTCACGATCAAGTCATGCACCCAAGGACAACTTTCTTAATGGCAGACGAGGACCCAGCAATCCCATTTGCCCTGAGAGACGAGAACTTGAAAGGAGTCGTGTTCACCACCCGACCGCTGCGAGAGCCAAAGACTTACCGCATGGGAGTCAGAGCTTTATCCTACAGCGTCGATGGAAATATTGAGTATCGGACAACTTTCATTGTTTATATAGCTGTGTCAGCCTATCCCTATTAAACACCCAAACTACTTGACAGTAATCACAGTATTTTAACCACATTCATAAATGCCAGTGGGTATTAACTACTTCAAGGCTGACTCTACTGCCTGCCAAACAGTTGTGAACCATGTAACTTGAAAATGGTGCTACGCTCTTTTTTTTCCTTCCTTTCCTGAGGCTGCCTATCCAGTCCCATTATTCCAATTCAAGAGGAAAATCCATGGCTTTGAGGACCTGTCACCACTTGCTTTATTTATTACACTGGAGTAGCCATTTTCCACAGTTTGTTCTGCAAACCAGCAGAACAATCAAAGTATGAGCTGAAGTATGTGGTCAAAGCAGTAAGCAAGGAGCAGCCTCTGTTGAAAACAACTAAAGAAAAGCCTAACCAGAAGAAAAAAAAACCCGTAATTTCAAGTGGCCCATGTATTTTAAAGGTTGCTAAGTGTTTTACAATTTTATAAGTGTTAGATTTTTTTTTTCTTATCAAATACCTATTAGAATTAGGGCTGAAAAAAACAAATACCACTGTACCTAATGGTTGCAGATGCTGAAACAAATTATATTACAGTTTGTTTTCAGCTAAAGAATCTACAGTAGAATTTGGAATTGGTGTACTTGATTTCCATGCAAGTTTAGAGATGTCACTATTTTTTTGGATGAAAAAACCAACATGGCTACTTCTACTTTATACAGCAGGTATTTTATAACTTTTTTTTTTTTTTTTACTCTGACATTCTGGTATAGCCATTTATTTAGCTCAAAACCATATCCATTTCAGTATTCCCAATTCAGTTAAAATGTTTTGGATTTTTTTGCAGATGGAAAATTTTTCTCCAAAGATGATGTAAGTTTGGTTCAATAATGTCAATACACTGTACACAAGTAATTTTGCCAAGATGTATTCTATTTTTATGAAAGTGTATATATGTTTTTTCCTATGTGTATTTTCTATGCAGTATCTCAAGAATGTTTTACAGTTATGTTTGCATAAAAGGACAATGTCAATACATTGAAAATAATCAAAATAAAGGTTCCCATTGCCTTTGAGATTGCTGTGAGTTTCATCACTGAAAAAAACTCTTTTCCATTTGTAGAGCATTTGCCTTTAGTGCCAGTGGAGAATGCAGAAGGTAGCATGCCCAGCAAACCAGGGAGCTGTGTGCAGAAATGCAGCCAAGCCTCCTGGTTTTTGTGTTACTGGCTTCCCCCCATCCTTCAGTTTTTTCAAAAAACGTCAGGGAAACTGGTGCACCTACCATAACACCACTTATTTTATCCAGAACCTACTGACTAGGAGACATCTCATTTCCTCAGAGGAAATGGATTTTGCCAAGAGTTAAATTTTTGTTGCATATAAAGGCAGTATTTATTCATAAATATACTCAACTCATTGCCAAACATAAAATAAGTCACTATATTTCCAATGCCTATTAAAAGAAAAAGAAATCATTGAAGGGTAGCCCACTGGAAATTACCAATGCTCACTGTGAAAGTTTTGCCATTTTCAGTCAAAGTGAGAGTGCAATGTCAACAGAGCTCCTCAAGTTGCAAACTCTACAGGGGCTGAACTGTAGACTCTCAGGTTTCTGTGCTGCATGAGTGGGATGCAAGGAATGGACCAAGAATAACTCATTTCACTCATTTCAATTAAAGTACATTTTTAGCAACAGGGTCAAATTGCTCCACAGTGCAATTTTGACTCTGTGCTTCGATGTCATTAACCATCCCTAGAGAAAGCCTCACCAGTTTTCCCCAACCTTGCTTTTTGTTCAATTTCCATTGCAACAAGTGAGATAGTCCTGCAAAACAAGGATGACTTAAAATCATTTTGCTCTTTATACAAATTTTATTCAAGTGACAGACATCAAACAAAATGGGTTTGTTTCTTGGAAGCCTGACTTGAAAAATATAAGTAGTTTAGAAAGAAAAATAAGGTAACATTCATGACAAAGACATGAGGGAAGGAGAAATGAGCATAAGCTGTAAGTAGTACTGGTAGTTACCTGAATTTCTTTTAAGGATGAGACTCACACTGAAAATGATGTCCTTGAGGGAACTTAACTCCACTGTGAGACAGGAAGAAAAAGAAATTTTCTGTTATGATATGTTTCATGAGAGGAAAAAAAGCCCAACCAATAACAGAGTTAACAGGTGTTAGGGAAAATCTATTATTTCTTTTAGGGTTAGGAACTGACCAGATGGAAGTCACTTCAACATTCCCAGGCACATCCACAGCTTTGTTTCCACTATTTGCTTTCTCATCCTGTGCTTTTCAGATGCCCAGCTGTGGCTCAAGAGGGAGGAGCCACTTGCCCCTATGGAAGCTGTTAGTTTCAATCCTGTGGCATCATCTCAGTGTGAGACCAGTAAGATTTGGGTTATTGTGAGCTTTATGGTTTTCACTCATTGACTGAAGGGAAGTTATGAGTAAGGGAGAACTTGTGCCATGCCCTTCTCTTCCTTGGCCATCTTGTTCTATGTTACAGATTTCCAAGCTCTTTTGCTTTAAGAAAAGAATTGCAAATGCTAACTTAAATCTCAGAGCAAATACACCTGGTGCAGCTCTACTTCCACAAGCTATCTGAGCCTATTTGAAATAGGCTGAAAAGTCTATTGTTTATTATTAGCTCTCAAGTCAGAATAGAAAAACTGAGGCAGGTTAATATGTGTGTACATGCCCACATAAAATTGTGTAGTTGTTAAACATTTAAAATCCAAGGTTCATAAATCCAAATTTTAAATTTTATAAAGACAGCAAATATGCTACTGTACTTATTACTGCTTCAGGTAAGGCTAGCAGAACCCTGGATGCAATTTTTGGTGTCTAAAGGTTGTACAGCTGAGCCTGCAGTCACTTTGTCCAATCCCCTCCGTTAGTCTGCAGAAATATTTGCAAGATCGAAGGTTCATTGCAACCCTATGAAAGGATGCTATGGTCTCCATGTCATTTGTCAATAGACATTTTGCAAATGCCCTCCTGTCACAAAGAAGTCTATACAAAAGTGTCATCTAAAAGACCATCTATCAAAGGAAATGCAGGTGAAAATTGGGGCAGACAACATGCAAATACCTAATTCTGAGTAACTTCACCTGCAGGTATAGTCCAGACTATGACTGAATCGTTATTCCCCATATCAGTAGACACCACCCCTCCATCAGGGAGGTTGAGAACACATGTGCTTTTCCAAGGATTTTGTCAGTAGGAGGATAAGCTTGTTGAAGGGGATTTTAAAAGCTGACTGATGGCCTATTGCCAACCCAGATACATCATCAGATTTCTTTAACCCACTCTCACTGGTTGGTTTTAACTGGGTATAACCAGGGCTGGTCTAGGAAGTAACCCTGGCTTTTCTAGAGGAACCCCCTTGATGTTTGCGTCAGTGCTGAAAGGGAACTGCTGGCTTTCTGCTGGCCTTATCTCAATCATCGTGATATATTTTAATTAAAGAACACATCAGAGAATGTTGGAAATTAATTACTTCCTAGCTAAAAAGCAGCTCATCATTCAGCTTGAGGACTAGACACAGCCCTGTAACTGTCTCTTTATGGTCATCATTATATAGCCACAGATGCGCAACCGGGGCAAAGACCTGACAGTGAAACCACTGTGGAAGTAGAACCAAGGATTTGTAGGGCTTGATGAAAGGCACCATGCAAAGAATCAGGAACCCTGTTAAATAGTTAAACTATAGACGTGATCTCTTTCCCAGAAAGAAAGTGTGAAAGTCTCCCAAAAAAAAAGCAGGTCCCAGCGAGAGCAATTGTTTTGGGGTAGTTCAGAGATGTGCTGAATAAACAGTTAATGCTTCAGTGCTACCCAGTGCTTGTGCTACCATCCTTTTGTACAAGCCTACTATTTCCACTGCTCATTTGATTGCCCAGGGAGGTAACGCAGCATTTCCTCCTGACCCTATTCCTGAAACACTGCCCCCTGACACTGGCTACCTCCTCCCTGCCTGGGCCTTACCTAGGCACAAACATGACAACATTTCATTAACTACACTACCAAGATTAAACATACCCTATGAAAGATGGCAAATGTGTTTTATACATTACAGAGATTAATTTATAAGTACTGGTAGTTTAAGTGTGACATCTTGTGACATTCCAGCAGTGTGCAGCTGGGCACAAGTCTCCCTGAAGCTCACCTCCAGGTGAACACACGTTAGATACTGGCTACCTGCTTGCTGCAGCACTGCCTGAGAGAACCCAGCCCACATGCGTATTCCAGGAAAAAATCCTGCCATGTCTGAGCCTTCGTCAGGGCACAACTGGACCTACTTTTCCTCCCACAAATGATCCTTCCTCATTAAAGCCTAAAGGAAACTATACGCTACGATGCAGCACTTTGCAAAAAAAATTGTGTAATTCCTTCTGAATAGAAGTTCTAGCAGAGGAATAAGGCATGAACAGGAGTTCAGGGATTAAACTGGTGCCAATTGCCAGAGAGGATAGAAAGTCCACAACCACCACCGCTGGTTACATGGCAGGCCTTCAGGAACTGGACAGGTAAAGTATCCCCATCACACCTCTGTAGAGATCCAGCTTGCCAATGCCTTGAGAGAGGAAATCCACTGGGGTTTTGTTTTAATTTGCACACTGGCTGAATTTAAAAGCTATTGAAGCTTTTTGTGCAGCAATGAATCAATGCAGAATATATAGCACCACGGGTTAAAGAGAAAACAAGCTGTTATCAGATTAGAACAATGCTGGAAAAGTCAGGAGTAGTACTGCTTGACAGGTAAGCGTCCACTTGCCAAGTAAGATCCAGACAGTCAATGCTAAATGAAGCAGAAGGCTAATGAGTAAAGTGGTCACCATCGCTCTCACATCAGTGTGGCAATTACAGGCAGGACTCTGCTCTTGGGTTTCAAGTGGGAGTCTGGTACCCTTTGACTTCAGAAGCATTTCTACTTCTGGCAGCTCACATCTAAGGCTGCTGCCAATAAAAATGAGGCACATTACAACCTTTGACATCCACGGATTAGCTTACGAGGCTAGAATCCAGCCACCC